CACTCTTTTCCCCCTTTCCTCCTCCTCGTTCCCTCTCTCCCACTCTTTTTTTCCCTCTCCTCCTCCTCCCTTTTCTCCCTCTCCTCTTCCTCTTCCTCATCCCCCCCCCTCTCTCTCTCTCTCTCTCATACTAACCATCTTTTCTCCTCTCTCTCTCATAATCATCATCTTTCCTACTCTCTCTCTCTCTCTCTTTCCTCCTCCTCCTCCTCCTCTTCCTCCTCCTCCTCCTTTTCTCTCTCTCTGTCTCTCATATTTACTCTCTTTCTTCCTCTCTTTCTCTCATACTTTCTTTCCTCCTTTTTCTCATACTTTCTTTCCTCCTCTCTCTCATACTCGTACTTTCTTTGTCTGTCTCTCTTTCCCTCTTACCCTCCTTTCTTCTCTCCTTGGTTCTCTCTTTACCTAGCCTATTCCCCTTTGCCATAGCCTAGCTTTGTCTAGTCCTACTCGTGCCTTTTCATCTTCTGTATTCCTACTCTTTACTACATCTGTATTCTCTTATTCTTGCTGCTATATACTTTTCCTTTGAAACCTCCTGACCCTTAGCTACGTCAGTACTCTTCTATAAAACTACCCCTCATCGTCTAAATTCTCTTATATTCGCTTTGGCTGGCACCGTCTACTGATATCTCATCTTACACATATGCACATATAAATATGTGCATATATGTGTCTATAAATAAATAAATATATATATATGTGTGTGTATGTGTGTGTGCGTGTATTTATCAATATATCAATTTTTATATATATAGAGACACTAGCACACATACAGACACACGCACGCACATATAATATATAAACAGATAAATATATTTGCAAGGATAATACCATATATATATATTTGTTTTAATTGCATGAGCTCATGTATTTATCGATAAATAGTAACAAACCAAAATCTTTTGAAGTATCAGCCTGATACTGTAACATATTCTTGAATCACAGAATGTTTTCGACATTTATGGCCCACTATATACAGTGGAGGGACTAGGGGGACTGTAGCTTCCACCGCCAGATTCACCTCCAATACCACCTCCACTGCCGCCTCCGAATCCACCTCCACTACCGCCTCCGAATCCACCTCCACTGCCGCCTCCGAATCCACCTCCACTTCCGCCTCCGATTCCACCTCCAAATCCGCCACCACTGCCGCCTCCGATACCACCTCCACTACCGCTTCCAAATCCACCTCCAAATCCGCCTCCGGCGCCACCTCCGCTTCCACCGCTAATGCCACTCCCAAATCCACCTCCACTGCCGCCTCCAATTCCACCTCCGATGCCACCTCCAAATCCGCCTCCGATACCGCCACCAGAACCTCCACCGCCACCACCTCCTACGACTTGACCGCCACCTTGAGAGGCAGCACTCAGTGCCGTTTGGAGGTCTACTCCTCCAGGAAGAGTTGGGTTCTCTCCTTCTGCGTAGTTCACGAAGAACACTTCGGGATCCGAAGGTGGTGGCGCTGGCACCTCGATCACTTGTTGACCTTGTTCCGACTGCTTGTTAAGGACGAACAAGACGTGCTGTTGCCTCGGAGGAGGAACGACGATAGGTTCTGATCCTTGACCACCATCAGGAAGTCTCACGAAAACAATATTTCGTTCGAGTTTAGGTTTGGGAACGTTCGCTGGCCGACTGGAAGAAGCTTGATTTGGTGGCACATCATACAAAAACACACGACTGTTCATTTGAGGTGTGACGCAGCTGCCATCCACGTGTCGCACTTGTCCACCCCCACAACTCCCGGCGTTAAAAGATGGGCCAGAAGGATTGGGTAAATTATAACCCTGAGGAGCAGCAGATGCGACAGCCACCAATAATAAAATCTGTAAAGAAACACAAGCGCCAGTGAGAGATATCTTCCCCATCATCCTCGTTTACTGAATGTTTTTCAACTGTAAGAAGACAAGGAACACTTAGATTCTGGACTACTCACTCGAAGCTTCATTTTGAATTTCGATATAATACGAGCAAGGAACGATCTTTATATATACCTTGAAGGCTATTGCTCCTCCTACAAAATTTGGTCTAAACGTAACACTTCCTTTCCCTTCTCTCACTTTACGAATCATAGTTCCAAATGATGATAAAGAAAAATGTGTTTTCACAGAGGCAATGAAATAAAAATAAAGCGTAAGTCATTAGGTTACAATAGATACTGGCATACATACATGCACACACACATACATATATGTGTTTGTGTGTACCTATACATGCATATACATAGGTGTGTGTGGTGTAATTACATATAATTGATTAAATCTGTTTACTTATATTTATAAACATATATACATCTATATATTCATATGTATATATAAATATACTTTATATATACATATATAGACACTTATATAGATAGACTGACATACATATATATATCTGAACGCATATATACAGATATATACAAATATATACATATATCTATGCATACATATACATTTGTTCTTATATACAGGTAAATTCATACATATATCCATATATCTACTCTATATATAAATATATATAAGTATGCACACATATGTATATATACATATGCATATATATATACATACATGCATACAAGCATATGGCATGTATACCTAAAATTAATGGCTATAATCTACCTCTATCTCTCTATACATATGTGTGTGTGTGTTTGTTTGTGTAGCGGGGGAGGGGTCCATGTGCACGCAAAAATGGAGTGCAAATGATTAACAAACTTTTATCTCTTCTCCCCACTAACTAATCTTGCTCGTGCACTTTATTAACTATGCTCGAGGAATATATATCAAACTAGAAATACACTTGAGAAAAACATTCATAATGAATTATTACTAATATATACTTACTGCATAACAGACCTATAATAAATACAAGTTTCCTACAGTCTTTTTAGAATGCGTTTATCATTCGAAAATATTTAACTTAGAGGTACAACAATTTGTTTATCGTAAAAACACCTACTATACTCGTCTACACATATGAATATAGCTATACACATGGACATGATAGCTGAGCGAGTTATCACTAGTTCTTCAAGTGGGTTCGTCCTGCATTTGTAATGCAAATTGCTCATGAATTGCAATACTTTTCCATCCACTCCCACCTTTCTTGAAATATGATGGCGATATCTTGGTTTCTGGATCACAAATTTTTCTGCAGCAGAAAATACGATAAAGTAAGTTTCATGACAAAAAATTAACTTTAATCAGAATATATGTGTGTGCAAAAGTTTAACTGGTGTCCCACGGGTTCAATCATCCTGCTAGGAATAATTTAATTTGGTCAGAATAAGCAGAAATAACGATAATAATTATATATATGTATATATTCGTATATATATACATATATATGTATATATTCGTATATATATACATATAAGTATACATACATAGAAGTATATATATATATATGTATATATTCGTATATATATACATATAAGTATACATACATAGAAGTATATATATATATATATATCTATATATATATATATCTATATATATATATATGTATATATTCGTATATATATACATATATATGTGTGTGTGTGTTTGTTTGTGTAGCGGGGGAGGGGTCCATGTGCACGCAAAAATGGAGTGCAAATGATTAACAAACTTTTATCTCTTCTCCCCACTAACTAATCTTGCTCGTGCCCTTTATTAACTATGCTCGAGGAATATATATCAAACTAGAAATACACTTGAGAAAAACATTCATAATGAATTATAACTGATATATACTTATTGCATAACAGACCTATAATAAATACAAGTTTCCTACAATCTTTTTAGAATGCGTTTATCATTCGAAAATATTTAACTTAGAGGTACAACAATTTGTTTATCGTAAAAACACCTACTATATTCGTCTACACATATGAATATAGCTATACACATGGACATGATAGCTAAGCGAGTTATCACTAGTTCTTCAAGTGGGTTCGTCCTGCATTTGTAATGCAAATTGCTCATGAATTGCAATACTTTTCCATTCACTCCCACCTTTCTTGAAATATGATGGCGATGTCTTGGTTTCTGGATCACAAATTTTCCTGCAGCAGAAAATACGATAAAGTAAGTTTCATGACAAAAAATTAACTTTAATCAGAATATATGTGTGTGCAAAAGTTTAACTGGTGTCCCACGGGTTCAATCATCCTGCTAGGAATAATTTAATTTGGTCAGAATAAGCAGAAATAACGATAATAATTATATATATGTATATATATTCTATATATATATATATATATATATATATATATATATATATATGTATGTATATTTGTGAGTGTAAATAGTTAAGTTATTAATTTGCTTTTCTAGAATATAGAGGTTATGTTTCTTTTATAAAGTATATATATATACGTACAGATATGTGTGTGTATGTGTATATATATACGTATATATGTACATATCTACATATATCTATATATACATGTATATTTATATATATGAACATGTATGTGTGTGTAGACATATATACATGTATATATATACGTATATATCTAAATATATATACACAATATATCATATATATGTGTATATGCTCTTATACATATGTAGATATATATATATATATATATATATATATATATATATATATATATGTATATATTTATATATATGTATATATTCTCTATATATGTATATATTTTAGATACACATATATAACTATATATATGTATGCGTTTATACATGTGTATATATATACATGCGTATATATACATATATATGTGTGTGTGTGCGTATAGACAGATATACGAATATATATACATATATATGTATATATTCGTATATATATACATATACGTATATATATAATTTATACATATATATACATATAAGTATACATACATAGAAGTATATATATATACATGTGTGTATGAATACATATACATATATTTATATATATATAAATACAAACACACACAGACACACAGACATTCACACGCATGCATATATATACATAAACGCAGATGGATAAATATATTGCAAGGATAATATGATATCTTTTAATTAAATGGGCTCATGTATTTATTGATAAATAGTAAAAGATTACAAAATTATTTTCTGATTTTCAAGTATCAGCCTGATACTGTAACATATTTTTAAATCACAGAATGTTTTCGACATTTATGGCCCACCATATACAGTGGAGGGACTAGGGGGACTGTAGCTTCCACCGCCAGATCCACCTCCAATACCACCTCCACTGCCGCCTCCGAATCCACCTCCACTACCGCCTCCGATTCCACCTCCACTTCCACCGCCAATACCACCTCCAAAACCACCTCCAATACCACCTCCCAAACCACCTCCACTGCCGCCTCCGATTCCACCTCCAAGTCCACCACTTCCACCGCCAATACCACCTCCAAATCCACCGCCAATACCACTTCCAAATCCACCGCCAATACCACCTCCAAATCCGCCTCCACTGCCGCCTCCGATTCCACCTCCAAGTCCACCACTTCCACCGCCAATACCACCTCCACTGCCGCCTCCGATTCCACCTCCAAGTCCACCACTTCCACCGCCAATACCACCTCCACTGCCGCCTCCGATTCCACCTCCAAGTCCACCACTTCCACCGCCAATACCACCTCCACTGCCGCCTCCGATTCCACCTCCAAGTCCACCACTTCCACCGCCAATACCACTTCCAAATCCGCCTCCACTGCCGCCTCCGATTCCACCTCCAAGTCCACCACTTCCACCGCCAATACCACTTCCAAATCCGCCTCCACTGCCGCCTCCGATTCCACCTCCAAGTCCACCACTTCCACCGCCAATACCACCTCCACTGCCGCCTCCGATTCCACCTCCAAGTCCACCACTTCCACCGCCAATACCACCTCCACTGCCGCCTCCGATTCCACCTCCAAGTCCACCACTTCCACCGCCAATACCACCTCCACTGCCGCCTCCGATTCCACCTCCAAGTCCACCACTTCCACCGCCAATACCACCTCCAAAACCACCTCCAATACCACCTCCACTGCCGCCTCCGATTCCACCTCCAAGTCCACCACTTCCACCGCCAATACCACCTCCACTGCCGCCTCCGAATCCACCTCCACTACCGCCTCCGATTCCACCTCCAAGTCCACCACTTCCACCGCCAATACCACTTCCAAATCCGCCTCCACTGCCGCCTCCGATTCCACCTCCAAGTCCACCACTTCCACCGCCAATACCACTTCCAAATCCGCCTCCACTGCCGCCTCCAATTCCACCTCCAAGTCCACCACTTCCACCGCCAATACCACCTCCAAATCCACCGCCAATACCACCTCCAAATCCACCGCCAATACCACCTCCACTGCCGCCTCCGATTCCACCTCCAAGTCCACCACTTCCACCGCCAATACCACCTCCAAATCCACCGCCAATACCACTTCCAAATCCGCCTCCACTGCCGCCTCCAATTCCACCTCCAAGTCCACCACTTCCACCGCCAATACCACCTCCAAATCCACCGCCAATACCACCTCCAAATCCGCCTCCGATACCACCTCCAAAACCACCTCCAATACCACCTCCACTGCCGCCTCCGATTCCACCTCCAAGTCCACCACTTCCACCGCCAATACCACCTCCACTGCCGCCTCCGATTCCACCTCCAAGTCCACCACTTCCACCGCCAATACCACCTCCAAATCCACCGCCAATACCACTTCCAAATCCGCCTCCACTGCCGCCTCCGAATCCACCTCCACTACCGCCTCCGATTCCACCTCCAAGTCCACCACTTCCACCGCCAATACCACCTCCAAAACCACCTCCAATACCACCTCCAAATCCACCGCCAATACCACCTCCAAATCCACCGCCAATACCACTTCCAAATCCGCCTCCACTGCCGCCTCCGAATCCACCTCCACTACCGCCTCCGATTCCACCTCCAAGTCCACCACTTCCACCGCCAATACCACCTCCAAATCCACCGCCAATACCACCTCCAAATCCACCGCCAATACCACCTCCAAATCCACCGCCAATACCACCTCCAAATCCACCGCCAATACCACTTCCAAATCCGCCTCCACTGCCGCCTCCGAATCCACCTCCACTACCGCCTCCGATTCCACCTCCAAGTCCACCACTTCCACCGCCAATACCACCTCCAAATCCACCGCCAATACCACCTCCAAATCCACCGCCAATACCACCTCCAAATCCACCGCCAATACCACCTCCAAATCCACCGCCAATACCACCTCCAAATCCACCGCCAATACGATTCCACCTCCAACCACTCCCCTGCCACCTCCAAATCCACCGCCAATTCCACCACATCCGCCGCCACTCCACCTCCAATTCCACGCCAATCCCACTTCCACCGCCAATACCACCTCCAAATCCACCGCCAATACCACCTCCAAATCCGCCTCCGATACCGCCACCAGAACCTCCAGCGCCACCACCTCCTACGACTTGACCGCCACCTTGAGAGGCAGCACTCAGTGCCGTTTGGAGGTCTACTCCACCAGGGAGAGTTGGGTTCTCTCCTTCTGCGTAGTTCACGAAGAACACTTCGGGATCCGAAGGTGGTGGCGCTGGCACCTCGATCACTTGTTGACCTTGTTCCGACTGCTTGTTAAGGACGAACAAGACGTGCTGTTGCCTCGGAGGAGGAACGACGATGGGTTCTGATCCTTGACCACCTTCAGGAAGTCTCACGAAAACAATATTTCGTTCGAGTTTAGGTTTTGGAACGTTCGCTGGCCGACTGGAAGAAGCTTGATTTGGTGGCACATCATACAAAAACACACGACTGTTCACTTGAGGTGTGACGCAGCTACCATCCACATGTCGCACTTGTCCACCCCCACAACTCCCGGCGTTAAAAGATGGGCCAGAAGGATTGGGTAAATTATAACCCTGAGGTGCTGCAGATGCAACAGCCACCAATAATAAAATCTGTAAAGAAACATAAGCGTCTTTGAGAGATTTCTTCCCCATCATCCTCATTTACTGAATATTTTTCAAAAGTAAGAACACATGGAACACTTAGATTCTGGACTACTTACTCGGAGCTTCATATTGAATGTCGATATCATGCGAGCAAGGGACGCTCTTTATATATACCTTGAAGGCTATTGCTCCTCCTACAGGCTTGGGGCTAAACGTAACACTTCCTTTCCCTTTTCTCTCACTTTACAAATCATAGTTCCAAATGATGATAACGGAAAATGTGTTTTCACAGAGGCTATGAAATAAAAATAGATTGTAAGTCACTAGATTACAAGAGATACATACATACATGCACAGACACACACATATACAAAACACACACATATGCATATATATATATACATACATATATATATATAGTTGTGTGGATATAATTACATATAATTAATCATATTTATTTTCGTATATATATATGCAACCATATACGCATCTATATAAATCTTATGTATATATACATATATAAATATACTTTATATACATATATGCACATATTTATACATATATATACATATATAGGCACATATATGAATACATAGATACATATATATGTACACATATATACATATGTATGCATACACACACACACACACACATACACACACACACACACACACACACACACACACACACACACATATATATATATATATATATATATATATATACATGTAGATATATAGTAGATGAATGCTCAAGATCGTGTTTGCTGCTTATTGCTGGTCTTTGTCCTTTCACCTGTTCCCTTGTCTTTTCACCTGTTTGCTTGCATACACGTGTACACCTTAGTTATCACATTTTACTTGTTTTCTACATTTTACTTGTGACTCGTTTATTTAAATGTTGCCTCTTTTACTCGTTCAGTTATTACATTATAGTCTTAGTTTGTATTATTTTAGCTGCTGTTGGGCTTTGTTACCGAATACGCCATAGTATGTAAGGGCGTACCCTTCAGCGTATGTCATTTTCCTGCAGACTGCCACCTTCGATAGATGGCATCACCATCGAATTGACATAACCGCTCTACTCTTTCGAGTGGGTAGTGGCTTTTGTTCAGCACCACCACTCCCGTAGGTGCTCTAGCTGGAGCAGGTCGCAGGGTTTTATTTTCGGCCGGTGGTTTTGTTCTGCTCGTGATCCACCCACGTGATCTGAGATACAAGTTAAGTATTACAGCATTTCTGATATTTACGAAAGCACTTTTCTTAACTGGCACGGGAATAACTGTACTTAACAATATCACGGGTATGTGTGGTTAAGGGTTGGATGTTTTCCGGCCTTACTTTTGTCCTCATGTTTTTAGTTGTAAAATTTGTCCGTTCTGTGAACATGTACAGTTTGAACTGTTTTTCTCTTATGTATATATTTTTACTTCAAATAAATGTTGTATGTATTTTGTAAATGTTTAGTTACCCTGCACAGTGATACTTCCATACAAATTCTTTTAGAACCTGAAGTTTTAAAACAAAATAAGTTCTAGACCTTATTAACACAGGATCAGGAGAATCTCAAAAGTGGTTCGTACTTACTTATTGGGCTCTACAGATAGACAGATAGATGCATACATATATACATATATCTGAAATATATATATATATATATATATATATATATATATATATATATATATATATATACATATATATATGTATATATATAAGCATATCTATATGTACATGTAAAAGTGCATATATGTGTACATATATATATATATGCATATATATATACAGGCATATGACATGTATGCCTAAAATCAATGGATATAATCTATTCCTATATATAAATGTGTCTGTGTGTGTGTGCATTTATGTGTTTGTGTAGCGTGGGAGGGGACCATGTGCATGCAAAGAAGAAAGAAAAAAATTAAAAGGAGTCCAATTGATCCACAATCTTTATCTCGAGTTATCACTAGTTCCTCAAGTGGGTTTGTCGGTGCATTTGTAATGCAGGATGCTCATGAATTGCTATACTTTTTCATCCACGCCCGCCTTTCTTGAGATATGATGACGATGTCTTGGCTTCTGGATCACAAATTAACTGTTTTCCTGTAGCATAAAATACGATAAAGTAAGTTTCATGACAAGGAATTCTGAAAAGATTTACCCTTGATCAGAAAATGTGTGTGCGTGGCAATTTAATTGGTATCCCACGTGTTAATTGATTCTCTTGGGAGTAAATTGATTTGATGGAAAGAAAAAGTATATATATATACGTATAAATATGTCTATATAAATGTATGTGTGTGTGTGCGTGTGTGTGCAAATATATATATCTATGCATATATTTATACATCTGTGTGTTATACATATATATACACACACATACGTATATATATATATATATATATATATATATATATATATACAAATATACATATATAGAATGCATATATGCATATATATATCAGATATACACATATATATACATATACATTTGTATGCGTTTGTAGATTTTATATATGTATACTTGAATATATTTACATATATATACGCGTGTGTGTGTGTACATATATATACATGTATATATATTGATATATATACGTTTATATATATACGTATATATGTAAATGCATTTATATATATATATATATATATATATATATATATATATGTGTGTGTGTGTGTGTGTGTGTGTGTGTGTGTATGTATGTATATAAGTAAATGCATTTATACATATGTATATATTTATATATATACGTATATAAATGTATATATATGTAAATATATATACATATATGTATATATACGCATATATGTATATACATATATATATATGCATACGTAAATATATACATATATATGTTTACGCACATACATGTGCATATGAATGCATATATATGCGCATATATATATATATATACGTGTATATATACATACATATATATGTATATTTATTTATTTATTCATATACATACAAACACGTACACAAACACAGACATACACACACACGCACATATATATACAAATATATATATGCATACGTAAATATATACATATATATATATGCATACGTAAATATATACATATATATATATGCATACGTAAATATATACATATATATGTTTACGCACATACATGTGCATATGAATGCATATATATGCGCATATATATATATACATATATATATATGCATACGTAAATATATACATATATATATATGCATACGTAAATATATACATATATATATATGCATACGTAAATATATACATATATATGTTTACGCACATACATGTGCATATGAATGCATATATATGCGCATATATATATATACATATATATATATGCATACGTAAATATATACATATATATGTTTACGCACATACATGTGCATATGAATGCATATATATGCGCATATATATATATACATATATATGTTTACGCACATACATGTGCATATGAATGCATATATATGCGCATATATATATATACATATATATATATGCATACGTAAATATATACATATATATATATGCATACGTAAATATATACATATATATATATGCATACGTAAATATATACATATATATGTTTACGCACATACATGTGCATATGAATGCATATATATGCGCATATATATATATACATATATATGTTTACGCACATA